GCATAGTTTCTCTGCGATTTACGCTCCGTAATATTAAGCGAAGCTTGCCCCCCCCCCAATACATTTTGCTGGATCAGCCACTGATGACACTGTGTATGAAGGGGGGACATCTCTCACACTCTCTCTCTCTCTGACACCCGAGGGACACACTAGCGAGAAGGTGCCGCATTTACGGGGTTTATATTGAGTCCTGGGGTAGCAAGACTGTCTTGATTTTCATCAAGTCATCTAATCATCTTGTCTGATTTGGCCGCAACAGTAAGCGATTCCCAGTATTTTCGATAATTTTTGATGGACTATTTTTTCCCGAGTTTTTCATGTATGAACTAAATCGTTTAAAACAAAAATGCAAAAACCGGCATAAAACCCTGGCACACACACAGGATTTTGACTACATCGTCCGCATTTTGTTATAACATATTTTCGAGCAGATCCACCGTTGCCTGACATTCTAGTTTTGACCAAAACACTCTAAATTTGACAGTTTATGGTAAAGAGTTTCATACTGCGAGATGCTAAATTGTTCGAGTTGTTTTTGTTGAACGCCCACATTTAGTACCACGGACTTTGATTAACAGTTATCCGAACCACGTGCTACGGACAATATAGTTTGTTCCCGTAACTCGAAGTTAACTGTTAATTAAAATTCCTGTTACTAAATTCGGACGTTAAACAAAAGAACAAATCCATGTTGCCTGTTTTCGTAACTCGATGTTCGAACTCGAACTCAGCATTTCTAATGCTGCACCTCATGTTGGTGTGCTTGAGAGTGCCCCGGAATCTGTGTATGTACATGCCGCCTTAATTTAATTTAGTTTAATTAAATAACATGCCTATATAGGGTTGAAATTTAATTTAAAATCGCATAATGCGAAGTTTAGTGATGACAGGCTTGCGTAGGTAGTACATGTGTGAACAGGGATTAGCTGGGGGTGAGCTCATAACAAAACTCATTTTGCAGTTAAATTGACAGGTGAATATTTTGAATTCAAAAATGAATATTTTCAAATACGTTATGCTTATAAGACACAGCACATGAAAATGGACATCCATGTGCGCTATATTCTACTGCTCTCAACACTCAATCATGTTATAATGTTTCTTGTTATGTATACAACAGAACGACGTCTTTAAAACGAGGTTGAACAGCGACCCAGCGTTCTACGTACCCCCGACCGGATATCCACCGATCACTCGCGAACCCGAAACATGATACTAGTCCAATTTAACCATACTTGGGGTATAGTTACCGACGACTGCATCCAACAATGCCTACCATACATGTTTGGCACGGGCTATTGATCAGAAGCAAGGTCTTATACCATACAGTGTTTAGGAATTGTAAATTGAGTTTGTCTTACCAGCATTTAATGTAATTTAAAGTTTACCTTATGCATATTGAAATGTATTTTTCTCCAAAAAATGAGTGCATTAAAAGTACAGTACAAATGTATTAAAAGTATATTTATTTTGTACTTGACGATTTGGAACGTCTTTACGTATGTTAATCATGCATTAAATTCATTATATAAAAATCGTAATTTTGCTTTCATTACCATTGTCCTTCGTTTTCACAATCAGTACCTTCCATGCATATTGCTTTCACCATTTTTCACCATCAGTACCTTCCATGCATATTGCTTTCACCATCAGTGG